TGTAATAATTTCCCATCGTTCTGATTTTCTAATAGTAATTGCTCAGTAGAGTCTTCATGTATTCACGACGGTGGGCTAGTAAAGCGTTTTACTTTTGAAACATTACAATTATAAAATTATAAAATTGTTTTGAGTTATCGTGATTCTTAAATATGTAGCGTTATTACTTTAAAATTTTGATAAATTTAATGTCTCAACATTGTGCAAACAAAATCATTATTTGGTGGGTTACGCTATAAAAAAAAACATTGAAAAAAAGTTTGTATATATTATTATGACTCCCTGACTTTGAAAACGAAAGTAAATAAATAGGAAATTTCCTCTTTTTTTGCATCAGTGTGTCAAGTCAAACAGGAAGTGACCAAGTGTTTACTCTTCTTCCCTCAGACGTGGTGAGGTGATTAGTTAGCTTCGTCCCGCTTTATTTCTGTGTTCACGTTTTTAATTAGCTGGTATTTGTCATACAATGTGGTGAACGGTCAGATCTTTTGTAAGTTGTAAGAATGGCTAGCTAACAAAAGGTTAACAGCAAATACATCAAAAGGTTAACAGCGCATACAACAAAGCTTACTAGTAAGGAACACTGTAAACTCTGTGACAATGTGATTTCGATAATATATTTAAAAATTATTCTAAAACAAAAATTTAAAAAAAAAAACGAACACTTAAATAACGAAAATAGATTTAAAATAAATTTAAAATTTTTGTCATTTTTAGTCGAAAGCTATTTTTTTCAGCTTTAGTAAACACAGAATGTTTCTATTTTTCCTTTTAAAAAATGTATCAAATGCATTTAATGCACAGATGGCAAAATACTAGAGGTCACAAGCGGATGATCTGAGCGATATCAACACCTCTAGCTATTGGGGGTCCTGAAAGTATATGACGGGAGCCTATTTGCCCAGAGCCATGGGACTGTCGGGAGAATATAATATATGTCGTGAGCCTATTTGTCGGGAGTCTTTATGACGGGAGACTTTTTATTGCATGCCCTTTTAATGATTAGATGTGACGGGGTTCTTTTGTCTTGGCTGTTTTGACGGGGCTATTTTGTCACTGGCCGTTTTGACCCACACGAATAAAAATCTTTTTTCCCATCGTCAATTGCCACGACAAAAGGGAGAGCAATCCCAAATTTTCGTTTTAGTATTAGAAAACTGTATTACTTCCCTTACTTCTAAATTATTCCGTTCTTTTATAAAGTTTCAAATACTACTGTTTGTCCTTCGTGTAACTTTTAGACTTGTTCCTACTGCTAAGCCTGAACCTGTTATATGCTGTGTCCAATTTATATGCAGGGGGTCCACGTTAATCTGTAATGCCAGTTATGAGGTAGTAATGTGTCGGGGTCCCATGTTAGCCTGAGTCTGTTATATACAGGGGCCCCGTGTTAGCCTGAGTCTGTTATATACAGGGGCCCCGTGTTAGCCTGAGTCTGTTATATACAGGGGCCCCATGTTAGCCTGAGTCTGTTATATACAGGGGCCCCATGTTAGCCTGAGTCTGTTATATACAGGGGCCCCATGTTAGCCTGAGTCTGTTATATACAGGGGCCCCATGTTAGCCTGAGTCTGTTATATACAGGGGCCCCATGTTAGCCTGAGTCTGTTATATACAGGGGCCCCGTGTTAGCCTGAGTCTGTTATATACAGGGGCCCCATGTTAGCCTGAGTCTGTTATATACAGGGGCCCCATGTTAGCCTGAGTCTGTTATATACAGGGGTCCCATGTTAGCCTGAGTCTGTTATATACAGGGGCCCCATGTTAGCCTGAGTCTGTTATATACAGGGGTCCCATGTTAGCCTGAGTCTGTTATATACAGGGGCCCCATGTTAGCCTGAGTCTGTTATATACAGGGGTCCCATGTTAGCCTGAGTCTGTTATATACAGGGGTCCCATGTTAGCCTGAGTCTGTTATATACAGGGGCCCCGTGTTAGCCTGAGTCTGTTATATACAGGGGCCCCATGTTAGCCTGAGTCTGTTATATACAGGGGCCCCATGTTAGCCTGAGTCTGTTATATACAGGGGTCCCATGTTAGCCTGAGTCTGTTATATACAGTGGCCCCATGTTAGCCTGAGTCTGTTATATACAGTGGCCCCATGTTAGCCTGAGTCTGTTATATACAGGGGTCCCATGTTAGCCTGAGTCTGTTATATACAGGGGCCCCATGTTAGCCTGAGTCTGTTATATACAGGGGCCCCATGTTACCTGAGTCTGTTATATACAGGGGTCCCATGTTAGCCTGAGTCTGTTATATACAGGGGCCCCATGTTAGCCTGAGTCTGTTATATACAGGGGCCCCATGTTAGCCTGAGTCTGTTATATACATTGGCCCCGTGTTAGCCTGAGTCTGTTATATACAGGGGCCCCATGTTAGCCTGAGTCTGTTATATACAGGGGCCCCATGTTAGCCTGAGTCTGTTATATACAGGGGCCCCGTGTTAGCCTGAGTCTGTTATATACAGGGGCCCCGTGCTAGCCTGAGTCTGTTATATACAGGGGCCCCATGTTAGCCTGAGTCTGTTATATACAGGGGCCCCGTGTTAGCCTGAGTCTGTTATATACAGGGGCCCCGTGTTAGCCTGAGTCTGTTATATACAGGGGCCCCGTGCTAGCCTGAGTCTGTTATATACAGGGGCCCCATGTTAGCCTGATATGTATATCTACTGTTGAGAGGGACACGTTAGCGCGAGTCAGGAATGTGTATGTATTGTGTCATATGCTGATTCACTCAGCGTTACCACACACCATATATATACTTTTGTCTTATGATGCCTTTAAAGTAATGGCGGCATCTAACTACAAATATTGACAAAATATGATTTCATGTTGGGGGGGGGGGGGGGGGGAGGTCACTCGACCGCGTCAGACCTGGAGCAGACGGTAAATGGAGTTTCAATTATTTTTGACAATATTTACCTGCGGTCATCGAAGCATATAAAGCAGTATGATTTTACATGAAACAATTAACTCGACGCAATACACTTGTTGAAGGTCCTGCCTTTGAATATAGCAGTCGTCAGAAACGAATCAGTCTCTTACTTATGCATAATGCATCCATCAGATATAGAGTACAAATCTATCCCCATTAAAAAACAATCCTCGAGAGAGGAAAAGTCTAATCAGAATTAATTAATTAATTTTCTAATTAGCAAACAAATCTAACTATCTAACCCGAATAATACGAATCATTCCCAACGGAAGATTAAAATCTACCTCGATCAGAAAGACGGCTAATCCCAAGTGATGTATGGCTACATGAGAGACTGCTATCACAATTTGTGACATGCTGTAGTGTCAGGTCAGAATTGGGTTAGTGGTGTGAAGTAGTGTTGTAGTTATAACCTCCCCGCTCATGGGGTGGGGGGGGGGATAGCTGATAACAACCTCAGTGTCGTATTAAAATAATGTCAATCTATCTCTGCAGACACTAGAGAAAAATCAAATTTTGTCTGCTAGGCAGTTGATGCGATGTTTGTCTTATTGAATGTTTACATAGTTTTCCTGCTCTAAATGTAGGATCTCTAGGACAGTTCGTTCAAAATTGTAGGATGACAGACAGCAGTTTTCTTGTAATAGATACCTGACAGACTAGGGAATGTCAGACAGCACGCTACTTAGGTATGCTGTCAGACAGCACGTTACTGGGGAATACTAGAAGACAGCACGGTACAAATTAATGCTGTCAGACACAGAGGCGTAGCGACCCCTCCCGGCGCCCGGGGCGAACTTTCAGTTTGGCGCCCCCATATATATATATATATATATATATATATATATATATATATATATATATATATATATATATATATATATGCGTGTGTGTTTGTGTGTGCGACAGCCTGGAAAAAAAATAACAATTACGCTGATTGTCGTTCCCTAAAACTTCACTTGACGCCAATTAATTTCCCCTTAAGATGCCGAAACGAATAACACGTAGAAAATCATAAGAGCTTAGAACAATGGGCTCCATCGAACCCGAGAGGTTCGGTAATTCAGTCTCAGGGCTTCCGCGGAGGTCAAGACACACACCCGACTCATAGGATTCACGATCGGATTTTCTCATTGTGGACGATACAACTATTAAGGAGGGTTCGGTGATTGCGCATATGAAACTGGTGGGGTTCGGTACTCCAAAAAATTAAGAACCACTGCTTTAGGGTGTATTTTGTAGAAGGTGCAAGCCTTATTTGGTCTACTTTTGGTCGTGTCTTTAGAACAATTTCGATAATAGTAGGCCAATATTCCCATCCACCCGCTCCGACAGTCTGCTCTTTTTTATGTTACACAATCTTAAAATACGCTTTAGTTCAATGGGTTTCTTTTCTGGGTGATATCGGTTTATTCCTTAATCCGATGTGAATTTTTCCGATTTTAGTCTTCGAAAAAGCGCCCCCCCCCTCCCCATCTAGGAAAGCTGGAAAGCGGTTTTTCCGGTCACTGTTTCTTAAAGATATACGTTTTACAGTTACACAACCAAGGTAGAAAACAGTTAAATCAGTATGCAAAGGCTCTCAGCCGTTACATTTCTTTATTTTAACTGTTTATATTTCAAAACTGCAGCTTAAAATGAGCTTTTAATTTTTTTTCTACCCCTTTTGGCGCCCCCCTAGGGTCGGCGCCCGGGGCGGCCGCCCTCCCCGCCCTCCCCTAGCTACGCCTCTGGTCAGACAGCACGTGACTTGGGAATGCTGTCAGACAGCACGTTACTTGGGGATGCTGTCAGACTGCACGATACAAGGGAATTCTGTCAGACAGCACTGACAGCACGTTACTGGGGAATGCTGTCAGATATCACGTTACTGGGGAATGCTGAATGAATCCCCATCATTGACCTGACCTTGCGATAGCGCCGTGCCAAGGGACTTAATCGCGTTATTGCCTGCCGCGGCGTAGCGAGCAGTCTACGATTGGCTGATGCAGCAAAATCTAGCGGCAAGTCGAGTGTCTCGCGAGGGGGGCCACGGTGGATCAGTTTAGTCGTGTCTTACAGCGGAGAGAAGATGGCTACCGGCGTACCGGTCGGCCTTTTCATATGTGGATTGTTTTATTTATTGACATTAACCAACGGTAAAGTTTTAACGCCCCCGTATTTTAACTTAGCCCAGGGTCGAAATCTGACTGCGACAGCGACCTGTGGCTATGGGGTGCCGGACAAGGAGTTGTACTGTGGACTTACAGGCGCTGCCAGCAGCTTCACTGGGGAACTGATTCAAGGACAGATCTGCGATTTTTGCGACCCTCGAGACCCGAACAAAGATCATAGGGTGGAGTATGCGGTGGACGGGACGGAGCGATGGTGGCAGAGCCCGCCCCTCTCTCGGCTGGGGGTGGAGCTCAACAAGGTCAACGTGACCATCCACCTGGGACAGGTGAGTAAACCACTAGACCATAGCTGATTACACTAAACTATTATCAGATTAGATTACAAGGGTAAACGACTGACCTATGGCTATTAATAGATTAGATGAGTGCACGACTGACCTATGGCTATTATTAGATTAGATGAGTGCACGACTGACCTATGGCTATTATTAGATTAGATGAGTGCACGACTGACCTATGGCTATTATTAGATTAGATGAGTGCACGACTGACCTACGGCTATTATTAGATTAGATGAGTGCACGACTGACCTATGGCTATTATTAGATTAGATGAGTGCACGACTGACCTACGGCTATTATTAGATTAGATGAGTACACGACTGACCTATGGCTATTATTAGATTAGATTAAGGTGAGAACACGACTGACCTATGGCTATTATTAGATTAGATTAAGGTGAGAACACGACTGACCAATAGCTTTTAGATTAAAAACAAAATTTCCGATCCGCTTCTGACAAAACTTTAACCACTGGCGTCCTAAAGTTCAAATACATACAGCCTTGGCTACTGATGTGCGACCGCCCCCCCCCCCCCCCCATTCTGACCGGCACCTTACTAGTCCGGCTACTGGCGTGTTCCTCTCCCCCCCCCCCCCTCGCCCCCTCGCTGTGAATGTACTAAACAGAATCCATCCCATACTGTCCACGCCTCCCTCCACCACCACCCACCACCACCCACCTCCCACATACCACAGCGGCCTGACTGCCCCACCGCGCGGAAATAACCCATTAAGTCTGTACAATTACTCGGTGACCTGGCTCTCTAGGCCACTGTTGATGGTTGACTCAGTGGCTCTTTCAATAAACATCGTGGTAGCTCTCTAAACAAATAACGTATTGGTGGTCTAAACTTATCATTTCTCGTGCTAGCTCGCTAAACTATCATTTCACATGGTAGCTCTCTAAGCTTAACATTGCATGTGCTAGCTATCTAAACTATCATTACACGTGGTACTCTTTAAACCTATTTTTCACGTGGTAGCTCTCTAAACTATCATTTCACGTGGTACTTCTCTAAACTATCATTTCACGTGGTACTTCTCTAAACTATCATTTCACGTGGTAGCTCTCTAAACTATCATTTCACGTGGTACTTCTCTAAACTATCATTTCACGTGGTAGTTCTCTAAACTATCATTACATTTGGTAGCTCTTTAAACTATCATGTCTCGTGGTAGCCCTCTAAACTATCATTTCTTGTGGTAGCTCTCTAAACTATCATTTCACGTGTTAGCTCTCTAAACTATCATTTCACGTGGTACTTCTCTAAACTATCATTTCACGTGGTAGTTCTCTAAACTATCATTACATTTGGTAGCTCTTTAAACTATCATGTCTCGTGGTAGCCCTCTAAACTATCATTTCTTGTGGTAGCTCTCTAAACTATCATTACACTTGGTAGCTCTCTTAACTATCATGTCTCGTGGTAGCTCTCTAAACTATCATTTCACGAGGTGGTTCTCTAAACTATCATTTCATGTGGTAGCTCTCTAAAGTAATATCATTACACGTGGTGGCTCTCTAAACTATCGTTACAGGTGGTAGCTCTCTAAACTATCATTTCACGTGGTATCTCTCTAAACTTATCATTTCACGTGGTACCTGTCTAAACTATCATTTCCCGTGGTATTTCTCTAAACAAACACTTCATCATTTCACGTGTTTGGCCTCTAAACAGCACCAAACCTCTAATTTTATAATGCCGATCACTAAACAGTTCTGTCTCTAATTGAATAAGGTAGCTTTCTAAATAAACACTACTAAATGTCTAATTGAATGCGGTCTGTCTCTAAAATAAAAGGCCTAGCCCTTTATCCTCATTCAGTGATTACAGTCGATTTTATTATTTCAAGCAGTTCTAAAACTGTCATTTATTAAGGTCCTTCTTGCGTACCTCAAATTCTCAAATTATTAATATACTTTGATATACTTTGTCTTTTGATACAGAACTTTAAATCTCCAATTTGATTCATCGGTCAGGTTACAAACATTATCTCGACATGTGTACGACAAAAAATAGTATACAATTCATTATCAACTCCGCAGACAACCTTCAATAAAAGACATAGACAATGATTGTGGGCAGGTTGTTCAAATATTGGGATCTACACGTTGGATGTAAAACTAAATTTAGACCTGGATGTTTTGATGACGTGAATGACGTAACAGTCGGCACGCGTCATAGGATATGAGAACCGTTAGGTCGCCGACATACAAACTCAAGATTTGAAGTTATTTCTGCGGGGGGGGGGGGGGGGGGTGGGGGGGTGATTTCTTATCGGCGGTTGTAAACCTGGCGACCGGTGCAGACGACAGGGCAGTAGAGTACCCTCTGACAGACGTGTGCAAACAGTCGAGGTTTTATAGCAGACGGTAGTTTTTTTTATCAATGACATAACTGTGGTCGAGTAATTGAGTCAGTTTGTCTGATACAGTTTTTTGTGGTAGACTTAAGTCACTTGAATCAAGACCGTCTGCTTCATGGCAGTTTGTATTAATGATCATCTGTATTAAGACTGTCTATATCATAACAGTTTATTTCAAAACTGCATAAACAATTCTAATTAAAGACAGTCTATATTAAGACAGTCTGTATCAAGACAATATTTTTATATTTGACGGGCTTAGGGGTCATCCATTTAATAACGTCCACAACTTTTTTTTTATTTTGACCCCCCCCCCCCCCCCCCCCCACAAAAATTCACCTCATTT